TTGGGTCTTCTGGGCAAGTCTGGAGATCTCACATCTTAGAATATAGACAGATCCTGAGAGATAGAGGCCTGAAAACACACTCTCTGTTGATGCCTTTCCTTCCTTGAAGGAACGTAGCTTTTCCAGGATTCTGTTTGCTGAGAGTCACACACTGCTTGAAAATGCTTGCTTGGAGGCCATTTATTAGTAACAATTTACCCTGATGGTTTGACTGTAGGGAAGGCCACCACACTCACAAGGAAGAGTAAACCAATATACAAACATCTTTCTGTAGGATGTTTCTCTGTAAGAGAGATCCAGTAAGCATAGCTCTGTCTTGAAAATTCTTGGATATTGTGGGAACACATCCTGAGTGTGAACCTGGATACCAGACCTCAGTGACAAAATTTACATTTTCCTCTCGGTTGGCCCTAAAATGGTGAGAAAGCTATGGTCCTTCAAGGAAGGAAAGGCATCAACAGAGAGTGTGTTTTCAGGCCTCTATCTATCAGGAACTGTCTAGATTGTAAGGTGTGAGACCTCCAGTCTTGCCCAGATGACCTAACATCCCAAGTCAGGGCATGTGTTTCTATGCACTCTCTGAGGCTTATAAACACATTCCTAGGTCATACTGGGACTGCCCATGAGGAAGCAGGCTGTGGGAGTGTGTCTGAGAGTGCTGGGTGCCATATGGTGCCTACCTACATGATGTGATATTCCACTGGAAATGGGCCCGTGGCTACAAGTTACGAGCTGCTCGCTTGCTTCAGAAATCCCAAAGGTTGAACCAAAGCTAGCACTGTCAGAAGTAAGAAGACTGCATTTGGATGGATTTTCAAGCAGTAGCTAGGCCACTCTGCTTTAGGGACCACTGAGAGAAAGATGCAAATTTTGCCACCAAGGCCCAGTATCCAGATTCACACTCAGGATATGTGCCCGCAGGATCCAATAATTTTACAGACAGGCCTAGGGTCACTAGATCTCTCCTTCAGAGAAAACGTGATGGGACAGATGTTTGGATGTTGGTTTGCATTTCTCTGTGAGTATGAGGGCCTTCCCTAAGGTCACACCCTCAGGGGAAATTGCTACTGAAAAATGACCTCCAAGCAAGCATTTTCAAGTAGTGTGTGACTCTCAGCACACAGAATGCTGTGAAAGCTATATTCTTTCAAGGAAGGAAAGGCATTAACAGAGAGTGTGTTTTCAGGCCTCTGTCCATCAGGGACTGTCTAACTTCTAAGACGTGAGACCTCCAGGCTTGCCCAGATTACCTAACATTCAGAGTCAGGGCAGTGTCTCTCCCCACACTTTCCAAGCCTTGTAAACACCCTTACATCATACTGAGACTGCCCATGAGGAAGCAGGCTGTGGGAGTGTGTCTGAGAGTGCTGGGTGCCATTCTGTGGTCAGAATGGCATTGGGTGACATTCCACTGCAAATGGGCCTGAGGTGAGGACGTGCGAGCTGCCCACTTGCTTCAGAAATCCCAAACAGTGGTGCAAAGCTAGCACTGCCAGAAGTAAGAAAACTGCAGTTGAATGGATTTTCAAGCAGTTGCTATGCCTCACTGCTTTAGTACTCACCAAGAGAAAAATGCAAATTTTGTCACCAAGGTCCAGTGCCCAGGTTCACACTCAGAATGTGTCCCCGCAGGACCCAAGAATTTTCCAGACATACCTAGGCTCTCTGGATTGCTCCTACAGATAAAACATGATGGAACAGACATCTAGCTGTTGGTTTGCCTTTCCGAGTGTGTGTGCAGGTCTTCTCTATGATCACAAAGTTGGGGGATATTGCTACTGATAAATGACTTCCAACAAGCGTTTTCAAGCAGTATGTGACTCTGAGCACACAGAAAGCTGAGAAACCTGTTTGATCGAGGAATGAGAAGCCTCCATAGAGAGTGTGTTATCAGGCCTCTATCTACCACAAACTGTCTAGATTCAAAGATGTGAGACCTCTAGGTTTGCCCTGAGGACCTAAATTCTAGAGTCAGTGCAGTGTATTTCCCTACACTTTCTAGACGTGGAGGAAGGGGAGGGGTCTGCAGAGCTCCTGGAGTGACAAGGAGAAGGGGTGTCCCACCTACAAGACATGGAGGAAGGGGTAGGGTCTGCAGGGCTCCTGGAGTGACAAGAAGTAGTGTCTCACCTACTAGATGTGGAGGAAGGAGAGGGGTCTGCAGGGCTCCAGAATTGACAAAAAGGGGTGTCCCACCTACTAGACCTGGACACAGGGGCAGGGTCTGCAGGGCCGCCTCACCTTGGGACCTGCTGGGAGGCTCTAGGGCTCAGCACAGGCTGTTGCACTCACAGCTGAGATGTGCCTCAGGGCGCAGTGGGGATGCCCAGGTAGGAGGAGCCCTGAGCCAGTCACTCACCCATCATGTCTTTCCTCCCTTGAGGATACCTAGGGTGTCTCTTCCCCTAGCAATGAAAGGAAGAACCCTGACAGTCACCCCCACTCCCATTGCCTCAGGGAAGCTCACTAGAGCCTTGGCATCCAGCTAGGAGCTGGTCACATGGTGGTGTCTGCCCTCACCCTCCAAGATGCCAGTGCCCAGAAGGGAAGCCAGGGCTCAGCATGAACCTCATGGTTAGTGCAAACAGTATAGGCACAGGGGGCTGCCCTTAATGGGAAGGAGGCTTTAGATCAGGGCAAGGAGCTTCCAACCAGCTGCATGAGCTTCCTGGGGCAGTGGTGACAAATAACCACACACAGAGGCTCTGAACAACAGAAGCCTGTCCTCTCTCAGTCCTGGAGACCAGACATCTGAGGTCAGGGTGTCCCAGTGCTGCACTCCCTCCAGAGGCTCCATTCAAGGGTCCTTCCTGCCTCTTCCAGTATTTTGGACTCCAGGCATCCCTGGGCTTTTGGCCCCCTCCCTCTCATCTGTGGGTCCATCTTCACCTGGTGTCTCCTCTGTGTCTGTGTCTCTTAGAAGGACACTCTCATTGATTTAGGGCCACCCTGACCCAGGATGACCTCATCCCCAGATCTGTAACCAATTATACCTACAAAGACCTACTTCCAAATAAGGTTCCATTCTCAGAATCTGGGGTCATGACATGGACATAGCATTTGGGAGCCCCCCACTCACCCCACTACAGCACCCAGTTCCCAGACCCCAGCCTGCCTTCCCTCAGGACAGCGCTCAGGCTGGTGACATTCTGTCTTCCTGCACGGAGGAGTCTTGTTTCTTCCTGTAACTTAGTGAGGTTGGGTGGGTGCCCCTGCTGGCTGACCTCCCAGTGATTCCAGGGACCATGCTCAGTGTCCTCCGGGGAGTGTGGAAGCTTGGCCAGGGCTCCCTGTGCATACGTTACACTGACAACTTAGTGCTCAGGCATCTGTATGAGCTGGACAGGCCCCTGGACCACTGCACCTTCTACCTCATCGACAGCCTGGTGCACTGTGTGCAGGCCTATGACCATGATGTGTGGACCCACAAGATTGGTGGGAGCCCTACAGCTTGACCCATGGCCTCCAGCCCCCACAGATCCTCCAGTCCTGCTGTGGACACCCCATCCAGTTGTGAACCTCTTTTCCTGCCATGGACACCGCATCCCATTGTGTTCCAAGAGGCCTGCTGGGAGGGATAAGAACTTGGCCATGAAGAAGACAGGGCAGCAGTAGGCTCAGACTCCAGACCTGGAGATCAACCTTCTTCTGTCCCATACAGGTCAGCATTACTAAGTAGTCTACAGAAGCCAAGCCATGGATCCACTTGCATGTAGAGAAAAATCCAGAGTTAAAGAGCCTGTCAGCAGAGTGGAGAAGACCAAGCACAAGTCAGCCCAGCAGGAGGGGAAGCAGACAGAGAGCAGAGGACTGTGCCCTCAAGAGTCACGACAGGACGCGGGCACCTGGGGAGCTCCTTGGTGGCTTCTGTGAACAGACGTAGCCTCCTGCAGAGTGAGCCAGCCCTGTGTCCACAGCATATGAGACCTTGGAGGCATGGTTGTAAGTGTTACCAGTCTTGAGATGAGACAGCCCGTTAGGAGCCTTGCACAACTAGACAAGAAGACACTCATGTTATTCCTACAACTGGATCAATTGGAACTTCCTGCATATAACTTGCCCCAGTAGTTCCTCCAATCTGAATTGCCATTGCTTGCCAAAGAGACTTGTTCTATTCTTCCAAGACAATAGATTCTTTATTTTTAAACCATTTGTTTGAAAAAAAAAATCAGTGTTTCTTGTGAAACTAAATCTTCCCCAAAAATACAAATAAAATACTAATAAGAAGAAAATGAAGACAGGGCCGGCCCTGACTGCAGCTGGTGTAGAGAGGAACTGGGGCTGCTTGGGTACTTGTCCTCCAAGGGCCAGAATGTGGTGTATGAGCCAGGAGGGCTCTGACTGGAGGGGTCCACCTCCACTTGGGTTCACCTGGAGGGTCGTGGCAGGGACAGCGTGTACTTGGGTGACTTTCCAACTCACCCCACTCCAGCTTCACCCCCCTTGGTGTTCCCTCCCAGCCTACCCCACTGCATTAAGTCTTTAAATAATGTCTCTCACCCAACAGGCCTGCATGGGAACTTATAACACGGAGTGGGGGTCAAATGAGGCACCCCATGTGTCCTGCAAGTCTTGTGGGGGGCAAGAGGCTCGCTTTCATGGTCCTGCCCCAGTGGACCTGGGGATGGGGTGGAGGTGGGGTGTGGCAGCCCCAGGCTCTGCTCTGATAGATGCTCCCTTTCTGTGTACAAGTCTCCCCTCACTCCTCCCAGGAGACCCAGGAGTCACAGTATGGGGGCACCCCCGGCACCAGGACCCCACCCTAGGGAATTGCCCAGAAGCAGGGACCAGGCCCAGGGAGCAGGGGCACTCCTATCACACTCAAGGTGACCTCTGGACCCAGGAGTAGAGGCCTGGCCTCTCTGGGCAAGTGAGCCCACACCACACAGGCCCTGGTGCAGTGCCCACTCAGAGCGGTCAGCAGGGGTGCACATGGGTCAGCTGGGGTCCATGTGCCTCAGCCTGTGGCCACTGGCAACACTGTCCTGCTCTGCTCACAGAGCAAGGCCAACGGAGAGACAACAGAGTGGGAACAAAGCCAGGTCACGGTCATGCTGGGTGAGAAAAGGTCCAAAGAGCAAGAACCCAGCTTCCCCCACCCGTGATCCAAGAGCTGACATCCACTCTGTGATCAGTCATGTCTCCCCACATCCACTGCAGGGCTGCATTTCCCACGTCCTGGGGCAGGGTCCTGCCTGTGTACACACACAGCAGCACCTGCAGCCTGATGTCTGCCCTGGCCATGCAGCTGGGGCCTGGTGAGGGTGGAGCATCCCGACAAGACATAGGACCGGCCGCAGAGAGGATGTTGGGGTGAGGCATTTAGGGGCATCTGGAGGGAACCTTCACCTCTCAGCACATGACTGAGGATGCTGACCAAGGGTGGGCAGGAAGGGGAGCCCAGGGAGGTCCTGCATCATCCCCGAGGCTGGACAAGGGATGAGGAGGCACGGGTGTCAGAGCTGCTCGCTGCTGGTGGTGCCGAGCCCCGCACCCCTGGAAATCTGCCAGGAAGACAAGGGAAACCCACCTACGCTGCTGTAAACACTGATGTGAGGGGTTCACTCTCCTCTTCACCTGGCACAGAAAAGGAAAAACGGAACTGGAGAGAAGGAGGGTTGAGGTGGGAAGTGTGGGTGCTTGGAGCCTAGACAGGAGGGTTTCCAAATGAGGCGGTAAGGCCGCAGGGAGCAGGAGAGGGGCAGGGGGATGAGTGCTCAGCACTGGAGCATGGCAAAAGAGCACACCCCACCTCAGGCCAGCCCCCTTTCCCGAAGGTGGGGCCCCTGGAAGGGGGTTTCTGTCAGGATGGTTCCCTCAGACTGGATCTTTGTGGGGACATGGGCCAGCCTGGCAGCCCTGGTGAAGACATCGCTCTCTCTGAGAGAATGAGGCAGACACTCAGTCCCCAGTGTGTGGATGGTCTAGTCCTCTGGAGGTCATGTCTCTTCCTGGGGGTGACTGGGGCATTATCCACAGTCCATGGGGTACAGCCGGGAAGGGATGAGTCCGTCCTGGCCCAGCTGTGCCTGTCTCTTCGGGAAGAGCTCTCTGGTCCACAGACTCACAGGCCTCGGTCACCACTGCTCTCAACCCCCTCCTCAAAGAACGAGGCATGAGGACTCACCCTGTGAAACTGGGCACCTGTGTCAGGGGGCTGGTGGGTCACTTCTCAGATGGCCACACTCAGGTCAGGCGGTAGGTCAGGGTGGCCTGCAGGCACTTGCTGTGGTCACTACACCACTGTGGCTTCCTTCTCGGGCCTGAGATGCCCAGTGGATGGGGGTAAGTACCATACTACAGGGAAAAGTGGGTCTTCTTGGACCTTGGGTTCCTCCTCCAGGAAGAGAGGGGGTTATGTCCAGAAGGGAGGCAGCTAGTGACCGCCCTGGGTCTCAACAAGTACAATGCCCCAACCCCCACAGGCCAGCCTTGGGATTACTGTGGCCCTGTCACAGAACACCAGATGGGTGTGGGGTGGGAGGCAGTGTGAGGGGTGTAATATGGGACACTTACCCTCAGGCCTGGAGCCCTAAATCCAGGGGTCAGAGACCAGCTCCTCCTGTGGGTTCTGTGGTCAGTTGGACCCAGGTCTCTCCCTGCCCATTTCTGTCTCTGTGCTCACCTTGCCTTCTCCCCCACGAGGACTGTTCCCCCATGACACACAGGTCAGTGACCTCTTCTCAACCTGGGCAGCTCTGCAGTGGCCCATCTGCACACAAAGCGTCATTCTGAGGTCCTGGGGAGTCCAAGTTCCTGGGCCTCTTAAGGTGACAATCCTGGTGGTTGACGCTCATGGGGACTTGTGGGGTGGGGGCGGGGCTCCAAGGCTGGAATCCAGGCACCTCCTGGAGGAAGCAATGTCCTGACTCAAGGAGGACAGATGGACAGGCAGAGGAAGTAGGGACCACCCCTGTCCTCTGGACAGTGAGCAGTCTTTAGAGGGCCAGGCAGGGGCTGGCAGGAGGAGGATGTCAGAGGCAGATGGCCTGGTCTGCAATGTTGGTGTCACATAACAGCAACCATAACCCAGCACATCAGTCCCAGCCCTAATGCTAACCCTTCAAACCAGCAACACCAAGCCAAATCTAATCAAATCACACAAGTACATAATAAAAAAAAAAAAACTACACCAGTACACTGGATAAATATGAGCACAAGAATTCTCCACAAAATTAGAGCAACATGAAACCACCAGAACACAGAATAGATGGTGCCATAAGCAAATGTCAGGTTGTTCCACATATTAAAACTAAGCAATGTACTGAACCACTATAGGCCATGTAGAAACACATGATTATTTCAGATATTGTAGAAGAAGCTACAATTAAAGTCCAGTGCTATCTCATGGTACAAATACTCAAGAAATCAGGAATCAAAGGAAATTTGTTCAATGAGAGTAGTATACAAACTGACAGCATGCTTCATGCTCAATGTAAAACACTTTAAGATTCACTCCTGAAATTGGGAACAAGGCCAGGAAGCTTGCCTTCACCACTGTTACTCAGTCGGTACTGGAAGTTCTACCCAGAGGTCTGAGGAAAGAAATAAAAGGTATCCATGTGTGAATGGATAAATTAAAACTGTGTCTTTTCACAGAACACAGATCACACCATCTTACATATAAAACTTCCTATAACAACAAAAGATTATTTGACTGGTCAACTAATTCAGCAAAGTTATAGGACAAAATATCAATTTATCAAAAGTTATCTTATACATATACACTGACAATAAATAATCTGAAAATGAACTTATGAAAATAATTCCATTTTAAATGTTAACATTACTATTTAGGGATATATTGAATCAAGATATAAGACTTACTTTCATGTACATAAGGTTGTCTGTACATTTGAAATTATTGAAAAATAAAGTACATTTCAAAACACCATGTCAAAACCATGCCAGAAAAGCAGAGAAAACATCAAACTTCCATATAGAGGCCAAGTCTTAACCAGATCCAGTTCACCTAAAATCCTCATAGAATTTAGAGGCACTGTGGGAAGACTATATTAGGGCTTCCCAATATAAAGGCTCTTCATGACCCCATGTACTATAGCCCTTCAGACTCCTCTGTCCATGGGATTTCCCAGGCAAGGATACTGGAGTGGGTTGCCATTTCCTTCTCCAGGGTATCTTCCTGACCCAGGGATTGAACCTGGGTCTTCTGCATTGTAGGCAGATTCTTTACCATCTGAACCACCAGGGAAGCCTGACCCCATTACTGGGAAAGATTGAAGGCAGAAGTAAAAGGGGATGACAGAGGACAAGATGCTTGAATGGCATCACTAACTCAATGGACATGAGTTTCAGCAAGCTCTGGGAAATGGTGAAGGAAAAGGAAGCCTGGCATGCTGCAGTTCATGGGGTTGGAAAGAGTTGGACATGACTGAGCAACTGAACAACAACAACTTGTGCTCATGGAACAGAAGAATTACTATTGTTAAAATGTCCATTCTACCCAAAGTACACAGCGAATACAAGCCCTCCTAAAATTCCAATGGTATTTTTCAATGGTATATTTTCAACAAATAGAGCAAACCCTCCTAACATTTGTGTGAACCACAAAGGACCCCAAATAGCCAAGGTGACTCTGAGAAGGGACAACAGGCTGTAGGTATCTCCCTCCCTGACTCCACACTATTGGGTGAAGCTATAGCTATCAAAACTGTGCAGAATTGGCACAAAAAACAGGCACACAGCCCAGAGGAACAGGACAGACAGCCCAGAATTCAGCCCACATGGATGGGTCTATTATCTATAACAAAGGGGCCAAGAACTCACCAAGGGAAAGGACGATCCCCACAACAAACCATGCTGGGAAAACCGGGCACCACATCCAAAGATGGACCCTGGACACAGTCTCCACTGCACACAAAGCTGGCTAAAACCCTAGCTTTCCACACCAAGTCCTGCTGTGTCATCTGAAAACAGCAGTCACCGCACACAGGAAGCGTCTCCAAACTTCCCCTGAATTTTCCTCACTTTTTCCTCTCGACGTCACCTGGGTCATCAGGAAACTCAGCTCCCATAAGTGTGAATGCCGCCCTATGTTGTCCTGAAGCCAAAACCCCAGTGAGTTCCAAGGAGACTGAGCTCTGTCAGCAGAGACGCTGACCCGGGAGTCCCAGTCTAAGCCCTGCTGTGCCTGAGGAGACAACTCCCCTCAGCTCCGCTGAGCCAGGGCTGCAGGGAACACACCTCCCTGTGGTCAATACGGAAAGTGCCACCCACGCCTACCTCACAGGTCACTGGGCGCAGTGGCCCCTGCTGCCAGAACTGTAGAGTCTTTTAAACTGGAAATTCAAACTCAGATGAAGACAGTATCCCATAACTTTTTCTAAAAACAGGCAAAGAACAATTAATTGGAAACCATATGGAATGAAATAAAGGTAAATGCAAACTATAACTTACACAAAATTCACTCAAAATTATTCAAAGACAAATCTTAAATGCAGAACTATTCAAAATTATACAAGAAAACATAAAACAAAATTGACATGAGTTTGGGTTTGGTCACAGAGATCACGAGCTTTGTAGTTGTAACACACAACACAATAGACCAATCCAGAAAGAAAAGCAAGAGATTCCATGGACTTAATAAAACTAAAGATTTCTACTGTGTGAAAACCTCATTCAAAAAATCAAAAGACACAACCCAACTGGGAAAGAAATATTTGCAACACATATCTAATAAAGGTTTTGTCTCAGAATATGCAAAGAACTCTGACACAACCCCATTAAAATTAATAAAGCTCTAAATGGACACCTGGTCAAAGAAGGTACACAAGTACACAAAACTATGCCCAAGACTGGAGAGTAGAGAAATAATGGTCCAGTTCAACTCCCTGATCTATGTGTGACCTTGGACTAGTCCTGTCCTTCCTGGAAGCCTCAGAGAGATGGAGAGGGAAGAAGGGGAAGAGGGCCAGTTAAGCTTACACCTAACTAATCCTGACCATTCTCACCACTTTCATTCAACATGATCTAGTGGCAAGAATACTGGAGTGGGTGGCCATTCCCTTTTCCAGGGTATCTTCCTGACCCAGGAATCAAACCTGGGTCTCCTGCATTATAGGCAGATTCTTTACCATCTGAGCCA